TCGACCACTTCCTCCCTGCCTGACAGGTACATACTTCTCAAGGACACACAGTAGCTGTTCCTTGAACAAGCTCCACATTTCAATTGTGCCCAGCCCCTGCAGTTTCCTTCTCCATCCTATGCGTCCTAAATCTTGACTCATCGCCTCATAGTTGCCTTTCCCCCAGCTATAACTCTTGCCCTGCTTTACATACCGATCCCTTTCCATCGCTAAAGTATATAATCCCCAGGCACAACCACTTTCCTTTCATTTCCCTCCCCCTTGAACGGTCTGCTCTACCATCATGCAGTGGTATGTTTGCCCATTGCTCTGATAGTCCCTTACCTCATCCTCAAAGGGTCATAGCTGTTGGACCTAACGTTCCTCCCTCTGTCTACCTCACTTGTAGTCACACCCTCCTGTCCTTGACCACTGGCCAAATTTGAAGTATTTAACCTATAGACAGTGACTGCTTCTTGAAACACAGCATCTGGGCAACAGGAGAGAAATCAGAGTTAATGTTTCAGGTCGAGTGATCCCTCATCAGACTGTTAACTCTAATTCCTCTCCACAGATACTGCCGGACCTGCTGAGACTTTCCAGCAATGTCCGTTTTTGTTTCTGATTTCCAGCATCCTCAGTTCTTTCGGTTTTTATCCAGGTTAACGACTCCCCCTCCCTGACGTGTCTCAGTGTTCAAGGATCAGGCTCCAGCTCATCAACTCTTTAGCCAGAGTTCCACAGACAACCAACACTTGCTGTAGATATGGTCACAATAAGCCATAGTGGGGTCGACCAGCTCCCACATCATGCAGTTACATCTCCTGGCCTGACTCCTCTAAATTATTTTGTTAGTTTGTCAATTGTATTTTTTAAAATTTCCTCCTGGTCTTTAGTTTTCAATCTGTCAAACATTTCTCCAACTTACCTTTAATCCGAAAGCAATTTGGAATAGATTTTCAAATGAGCAGTTACTCACCAACCAATGAACTGATGGCTTTCCTGGGAGTGTGTCTTTTTATTAACTGATAGGGGGAGATTCAGCAAATCGGATAGACACACATTGAAATTTGAAATGATCGAACATAACCAGATTAATAGATTTTAGATGTTCAGTCTCCTCAGAGCAGGAGTCAATCGAATTTCTGGGGATTAAGGAAGACAGCAGCAATATGGGAAGGTAGGGGTCAGTGGAACAGACAAGTTGGGATTGTTCAGCGCTGCGGTGGCCTGGAAAGATCACATAGGCTGCTTTAGTTCATCATTGCTGCGTTTTCCTATTCGGAGAGGCGCTAATTAGTGAATGAGAGAAAGAAACAGTGTGTGAGCATTGAGGGGCATCAGTGTAGGAAGGTGATATTGGGGTATATTTAGCCAACTGTAATATTGGGGAGTAATCAGCCAGAAATGGTATATCAGGATAATTAATGAATCGTTGTATACAGTGGGCAATTACTGATTAATATATATCTGTTAGTGATAGATAGGTGTAATTAGCTTTCAGTTATGGACAGGTATCAATGATGATGGAGGTATCAATGGTGGAGGGTTAGCTATGTCTCAATGGAGGGGTAATTAAGTATCAATGGTGGAGGGGTAATTAGGCATCACAATTGAAGGGGTGCTTAGGTATTTAGATTGAAGGTGGTAATCCAGTATCAATGATGGGGGGGTTAATTTCGGACAGGCAATGGATGTGGTAATTAATTATTGACGATGGAGAGGGCAGTTAGGTATTGACGGTGTATGCAGGTAATGATGATGGAGGGGGGTAAATAGGTTTCGATGATGGGGTGGGGATTAGGTGTAAGTGATGAAGGGAGATTATTAGGTACTTGGGATGGAGTGGGGTAATTTAAGTATCAGTGATGTTGACAGGGAGGTGATGGCTAGAGTGAATGGAGGGGTGACGGTAGGGGTGAGGGGATGGCCGATGGGACAGGTGAGGGAGAGGGGGAGTGTGACGGTGACGGAGAGGTTGAG